TTATTTTGTACATGTAAGGAGGCTTGGTTAATTTGGGTTAAGGTGCTATCTTGGTGGGGTTTTGAGGTAGTAATGCTAAATACAGTGGATGGGGTCATGGAATTCTTCTTGTATGAGTTGGGTAGTGTTGTAGGGAGGGAGTTGGGAGCATGTCTTTTTCTTGTTGGTTCTTGGTATATTTAGTTTTGGAAGAATACTAGAGTTTTTCAGAACAAAGGGAATGGTGGGGAATGTTTGCTAAAGATGATTTAGTGTAAGACATTTTCTGGATTAAAAATAAGGTAGATGAATGTATGTTCTCTACTTTTTATCGGAAAGTTATTTCAATTGAATGTGTTACAGCATAAGAAAGCATAAAAGGTTGATGATGGAATTTCATATGCTGCATATTAGGACGTAGGTTTAGCAAAGTGGGTGGGATGTTTTTGGTTTTCATGTTACTGGACATATTGTAATTTCTCATTAGGTTACTAGATATTTGCTAGTATTTACTATAATTTTATACTTGGGTTAAAATACCTTTTGTACTCCATATAATGAAATTTATTTATTTTGCTAATAAAAAAAATCATATAAAAAAACGTGTTAAGAATTCCTCAAATTTCATGGCTTAAACAAACAATAGCAATTACTTACTACAAACATAATCCAAGAACATCTCATAAAAAATAAAAAATAAAAAGAGAGAGAGAGAAGAAATTGATAGAGAATTGCAATTGGTGACTGACGGGAGGGAGAAAATTGGCTTAGCATTAAGTTTCTTCAAGTTGCTTTGTGGCTGATATGCGAGTCCAGAGTGGGCAATTTGAAAGTTGCAGTAAGACTGATGGTGGCTGAGGGAGAGGAAGATGGAGAGTTTCAATTTAGGGAAAATAAATTGTTTAATGTTATTAAGAATTTAAATTAATATTTTTTAAAAAAAATAAATATATCAACCCGTAAACTCATAAATTAATTTATTTTTAACGTATGATCTATTTAGGTCAATTTTATGTGTTGTTGATGAGCTATAAGTTACAAAATATAGATTTTAAGCTGTTTTCATTAGTTGGGTTTAAGGAGGGGTTCCCAGGTCCCCTTCTAAATTACCACCCTTAAAGAGGACTCCAGTATTAACTATTAAAAGAGTCATCCCTCATCAATTGTTAGATGTTATGCATTTTAGATTTCAGAACAGTTTTTTCTTAAGAGAATATATAAAGCAATTACTTTTTTTTTATTTTAAAATAATAATTATTTTTTTCAGAATTTAAATATAATTTATATATTTATTTATATTACTTTAAAAAAGTTAAAAAAATAAAATAAAATTTTTAGTAATATAACAATTAATTAAAATAAATAATAATAATTAATTTAAAATAAATTTAAAATATTTAGATTAATTAATTTAATTAAAACTAACCAT